CTCCTCGCAGTGCTCCGCCGTTGTGTTGGGCCGCCGGCGCCCCCCAAGGACGACGCACTCCTAATGCGCGCATAAGCGCCAAAGCGCCGCTGCCGCCGCCGCAGCCGCCGTAGGAACGGGCGCAAGGTCGCAATGTCAGGCCGTGTCAAATAATCGATACGCAATCAATGCGAAAAAGAAACGCGCACATCGTTCGTTATTACTATTATTACCATCTTCAACGGCGATGAAATGACTTCTCCTTACCCCCCCCCCCCCCCCCCCCCCCCCCCCCCCTGCGGCAAAAGGGGCGAGCAGAGAGGGGAGGGGGTAGAGCCGCAATCACAACAACAAACAACAACAACGACGCGAGAATCATCGAACGCAGCGTCGCGATACCCACATGGAGAACAACTTCAAAACACACTGCCATTGGGTTGTGTGTGTTTTTTTTTCACTTGAGGATTTTATGTCTGAGAGGAGTTAATTGTTCAACGAAGGCGCTGACACAATGCTGTGCTAATCCACCAAGAGGCCGGGTCGGGCGGGGGCGGCGGGGACGGCGGGGGCGGCGGCGGTCAGCAGGGCGAACGAGAGAGATGTCGCGATACGGGCCTACCTACGGGCCACACACACTGCACACTGGGGCAGGCGGCCAAGGAGACGAGAGGGAGGAGGAGGGGGGGGGAGCTGAACTTAGGAAATATCGAATGAAATGGAACGGATGGATGGATGGGTGGTCGTGAGTGGCAAAAGTTTACCAACCAAATTGAACAGAATGTCGATGGGAGGGTCGTCTACACACGAGATGAACAAGTGCTGAGGGAGTGTGTTTGTGTGTGTAGGTGAGTGTGTGTGTGTGTGTGTGTGCGTATGAGTGTGTATGAGCGCGCGGAAAGGGCAAGGAGTCGTCCTCGTGGCGCCGAATTACGGTAGCATTTTCTACCCGTACAAGTAGTAGCAGCAGCGGCATGTAGTGGTGGTAATTCCCCCTCACCCCACCGCGGTAACGACGCTCACCTCCGCCCTGCTCCCCTCCGCCACCCCTCCCCCGCTCTCGCCCCGCGGCCACTAGCCGCCTCATACACCACGCCTAGTGTGTTTGACCTGAATTTCGGTTGGAAATGGCTGTGCCGCTGCTGCAGCTGCTGCAGCTGCTGCAGGTGTGGTGCTG